CGCGATACCACTTGCCTCCGCCGTCTTGAGTCATTAGGCGGTCCAAACGGGAATTCTACTGATTTTAAGTGACCGTTGGCGTAAAATCCTGCGGCCGACTTGCCTACAAAGACTTCGCAATTACGAGCGTAACGGCCTTTTCTTTTAACGCGATCGTATACGTTTATATTCAGTTTTAAACGGGGCACTTTGCGCGACTTCGCGTGTACATTTTGACCGGGTAGTCACGAATTATGAAAGCTCATTTCACGCGCGGTCATTATGCCACGCCAATGGTCGAAATTAGCTTACGGATACGAGTACGCCGACGGTGTCTATTATTTCCGGCTGAATTAGCCGGTTCAAAAGTCGGCAGCGACGCGGCAACTGCAATTCCATTTTCCAGCGAGAAGGGACCGCACACTCGCGTTTTATTCCGTCGGCGGTTTCGGTGGTGGCGTCGATGATATCGGGCCGAGACGGCCAATTAAAAACGTATCAGCCGCCCGGGCGCTTCGAATTTGAGTACCGGCCGAATTGAAGCGCCCCGAAAAATATAGGTTTTGATTCATTGTCTTGCGCAGTTAGACAAAGGCCAATTTTAATGACGCAAACCAAATACGGATGTCCGAAGCTTGCCAATTCCTGATAGATGAGCCGCAGCAGAAATTGTACCTTCTTAAATTATGTATGTTACATTTTTATATTTTATTTTTACGATATCACGACTTACAACGACATTCTTATTTTTTAATATATAAAATTTCACGACTACATGTTTCCAGTATATTTGCATCATCACGAAGAAAACAGCTTTAAATTTTACGCTGATTGTATCGCAGAGTACAATATTTCTATCACATTTGTATAATCTTTCGTAAAAAGGGAATTTAATAAGGAAAGTAATAACAACATATAATAAGGCGTGCATATGTGATTCACGCGATGATAGAATTAAGCATATCTCGTTAATGAGGCAAATATAAATTATAGGGTCAGCTTACTATAATAATTTGCATTGTCACGTGACGCTTTTGCTCTCCCAATCTAGGGGTCGGCGGCGCTTAATTGGGCTGTCATTATGACGCCTTATGGGACGCGGGACTCGATTTAAATTACGTAAAACGATAACGCAACGCTAATGATAAAACGACACGTAATCTGCAAATTATTTTCACCTTCATTTTTTTTTAATACAACTTGAAGCTAGCGTATCGCACAAGCGCAGGCTCAAAGTGACTCAGACGTTTTCGAGATATACCGCACGAAATCTGAATGTCGAGAAGAGAAAAGCACTGCTCGAGTAACATCGCCGTCGGTACCTCCGAGTGTCTTGAGCATTTGATTTTTGACGCTGCATTGCGCACTGCACAAAACACATTCGACACCCCCCATTCAAGTGTCACGAGCATCTTTTTCCGTCGCTGTCCTCGGGGCGGGATCCAATTCCGGCGAAATGAGAACCGCGACGGTGAGAGCCACTGGCGCGATCCCGCGGGACCACTGGGAGCAGTGGGAAGCCTCTGTACCCGTGCTGGGGCTATACCGGGCTACGCCGTGGAGAGGGCGCTCCCCAAGGAGGTAATTACCCTCCCTGCCGCCGCCCGACCACCCACAAGCCATCGCAACTTCAACTCCTGCCGGAGTTACATGCTAATACAAAACCAAAACCGGTTCCCAACAGCTTTGCTCGCCGTCCATCGAATTCCCAAAATTCATATGCACACGCGTGTACGCGCGCGTACGTACGCGCGTGCACACACAATGACGACGTGCCCGTGCGCGAGCGCGTGAAAAATGATGCTGGACGTCGCGCGGTCCACAATCGATCCCCAGTATTTACGCGTAATGTCTGACCGGCGCGCTTAATGTATGTCGCGTCGTGTAGAAATTGCGGGTTGCAGTTTTTTTTTATTTAACAAATTAAATTATTGCCCGCCCGCGCCGAACGAGATCGCGTTGCATGGCCCGTTGTCCGCGCTGAAAGAATTTCTGCATTCCGCGCAGCGCCGGTGTATCATAACGCGCGCGCATACGCTTCCGCACAACGGGAATTCGCGAAAAAAGGAAACGCAACAATGCATACGCTGCTTTAAACGTAAAAGCGGCGGGATTAATTTTGCATCTAAGGATAATGAAATAATAAATGCGCGACAACTAGAAATTAGCGGGGCGGCGAGTTACGCCGCGCTTTTCGCGTTTTCCGCCCTTTTCCTGAAAAAGAGAACGACAATGATTATTTCTCGCGAAGGAAAATCCCCGTGTATTTTTTTCCCAATTTCCCGTGTCCCGTTTCACGTAGAGCGGAGTCTCGCGAAGTTTGTTTTTCCCCGCAAAAAAAACTTTTATACTCCCACTCCCCCTCCCCCGCCCCCCCCCACTTGAAATTTTTATTTTATATTTCGTGCCGCGTCGAGGCCGCGTCGTCGCGCGGCCGGCGAATTCGTTTTTTAATTGGCAAATTTATTTGTTGCGTCCCGTACACGCGTGGCAATGATACAAGAATATTACGATTTTACGTCCGCAACACGCGCGTCACTCGATAACATTCTCACCGCGCGGAATGCCGGACGTAATGGTTCGATTTAGGTATCGGATGACGGTGATACCGGAACAATTTCGGGGAACGGGAGAGCCCAGCGCGGTTTCCCGTGCGGTCCGCGGCGCGAATTAAATATTCGATGTACAATCTAGGGCGCCGCAAAAATTCACGATTGTGTGCCTAAAAGTGAATGGAGAGAAGGAAAAAAGGGGGAGGGGAGGCGGGCTTTTTTTCCCCCTTTTCGTTTTCTCTCCCTTTTTTTGTGTCCTGGCTCGCTCAGTGCATTTCGGTAACAACGACGAACTGATTACCAACGCGGCGTCCCAAGCGTGCAGCCTTGGAACTCCCAAAAGTCATACTCGTAAAAAAAAAGGGACTATTGTGCACCGCGGACTTCCGGGTTATTTATACGAGTTATCTCGTCCCCGAAGCGCCGCGAACCGCGCGCGCCGCTGCGCCGCAGTTGCAGCTGCAATGTTCGCGCCGTGACTTACGAGCGATGATAATTCCAGCAGCTTGAGTGCCGCGGCTTTTCGTTCCACTGCGGTCTTAACGTTTTATTCCGCCGCGGTTCCTCGGTATCGTCTTATCAGTGAGATATTCGCGCTGCAGGAACTCTGCGAGAAAGAGGGATTAACTTGAGGATTAACTTAGGGATTGCGACTCGTAAGTGTTTTCGGGAGATTCGGCTGCTGATCTCGGCGCGACACAACTGCGGTTGCGATAAGAAAAATATGCGCGGTTGTCTCTCTCTCTCTCCCTCTCCCCGCTGTTTTGTATTAATAATTGTAATTGTTTTCGTTCAGGTAATCGAAGAATTTGGTCCCATCTTGGGACCAAAGAGTCCACGGCGCCAAAATTTTCACATAGCGATTGCATGTAAGATACGGTACTTAAAATCTCACTGACGTTGGACAATTTTTGGAATTCGTTTCAGTCTCCCGCGACCAGCTTGTGTCGCTCACTATTAATTACGTCTAATTAAAAAGTAATCGAAGAAAGCCGAAAAGTAGACGCGTAGACAACATCTTCATACTGTTATTGCGACAAGTATTATCATATGCCTCGGTGGTCGAATTGGTGAGACGCCCGCCTAGAGTGTAGGTAGGTCCAGGTTCAAACCCTGGCTGAGGTAATATTTTTCTAAAGTCAGCTGTGGTCGAATAAAATTTGGAATCTTAGTATTATACTGGCAATTAGGAACCAATCTAAAGAATAAACATCCGAGATACGAAACGTACGTAGGAAAGCTACGAATACGCGACTATTTTACGACCGCGCAGTAGAAAGATGTCGCTAAATCGTGTCGGACGCGGCTGGTGGAACCGCTCGCTGTCACCGCCGGTCACGCGAAGACAAGGGGCGTAATTTTTTTTCCCGTGGTATCGAGATGGACGCCGTAAAGTTCGATTATCGATGCGAACCGGCGAGCTTTGGCCGCCGCGGTTGTTTCCCCGCAAGTTGTGCTTAAAGTCGCGCGTATCCCGATGGGAAATTTGAATTTTGGCCGGTCTTCCTCCCACGTACGTACGTGTGTTTGTGTGTGCGCGCGTGTGGATATGTTGGTCCAAGGCGGTTCGGTCTCCTATGCGCAGGAATGGGCTGTGGGAGCCAATATCACCGGGGTATGGCTCCCGCGGGATCACCGCGCGCCGCTCTTTTCCACCCTTTCCCGTATTATTCGCGTCCGCGCGCAAGCGGCATCATCTGCGGCGCAGGCATAGGCCGCGCGCGCGGCGTATCTCCGAGCTCGTTCCGCTCGATCGCCTGAAATCCCATGAAATTTCAATGCGGAATCCCTATTAAGGGCCCGGCGAGTTACTGCCGCGCGGATCTCGGCACCGGGCTAAACGGGACAGACGATACGCAGCGAGAGTGACGTAACCGCGAAGACACCTTCGTCAAATCCGAATCTTAATTCTTAAACGCGAGTTCCCTGGGGATTCGAATATTCTCGCGAGAAGACGTGATCGAGAACGTCGTGATTTCTCGAGGCAGAATTCGACGGGTCGAAGCAATTTTTTCCCGCCGCAAGTTTTGGCGATTTAGATTAATTAAGACAATTGGATATAATCAGAAGACACCTTCGTCAAATCCAAATCTTAGTTCTTAAACGCGAGTTTCCTGGGGATTCGAATCTTCACGCATGGAGAACGTCGTGATTTCTCGAGACAGAATTCGACGGGTCGAAGCAATTTTTTTCCCGCCGCAAGTTTTAGCGATTTAAATTAATTAAGAAAATTGGATATAATCAGAAGGCATCTTCGTCAAATTCAAATCTTAGTTCTTAAACGCAGGTTTCTTGGGGATTTGAATTTTCTCGCGAGAAGACGTGATCGAAAACGTCGTGATTTCTCGAGACAGAATTTGACGGGTTGAAGCAATTTTTCCCGCCGGAAGTTTTGGCGATTTAAATTAATTGAGAAGATTACATATAAGTCGAGAGCCCGATCTAAACGTAACGTGTTTGTTGTTTCAGATTATCTGCAGGATGGCAGGTCAACTTCCGTCCAAGGTCCAGATTTAGAAAATCAGAATAGTCTCGACAGCGGTGAGTCATGTTTATCCATTACGCTTTAAACAAATCGCAATATGTAATGTGTCGTATTTTGACAAGCGTGAATTCTTGCAATTTAACACTCGTCCTAATTGGAACTCGCAATTTTAATTATCTATTCGTTTTAAAACGACTGACCGCGTTTAGGGTCGTCTAGATCCGTATAAAGACGATACTCAGTGATCCGTGGACCCTAATAGGCATCCTATCATGCGATAAAAAGGGGTTGCTACCCCTCGCGTTAGAGATTGCTCGTTTTGACTGGCAGAAAATACGTAAGGTGGATAAGGTTCTCAAATGGCACGGTAGGTTCGAGACGGAAGGATTTAAGGAGACTTTACAAGAAACTTTGAATTACGGCGTTCGAACGATGTCTCGAACAGAGGTGGTTTCCGCCTCGACGTCGAAGGGATAAGTACAAAGTAGAATTGACCTCAGAGGGGAACCGTCGCTTTTATGCTCGAAGGGCCCGAGAGTTGCCTCGAAACAACGTCGATGCATTTAGGTCGAAGTGTTTTCAGTATATCCAATTCTCTTTGCGAATATTTCAAGCGAGATTGAAAGGTTCGACGCAACGACGGCTTGACCCATTTTGTAACGATTTCAGAAAGTCAGTGGGAATTTAATTTTCCCTCGAATCGTCGGAAATAGTTTATTGGACTCGTTGCCCTTTATACATATATTGCCGCGTGTTACGCGTACAAGTAATTTCAATACAAAATGATGCGCTAATGCGAAATTCCGGATAAGAGAAATCGGGTTTCCGCGCAGCTTAGTGGCGAATAGACAATGCTCTCATCTATCTTCTCGGCGCGCGAGTCACGGATACAATGGTTCCCATGCATTCGACATATGCTCTCTGTAATTCGATTACCTTGTAACAGCCAAAGCTTTGGTAAGGGACGGAGGGATTGAGCCGACTTAAGTTGACTAATCTCTCGTCGGCTCCATAGCGTGGGTAGACTAGTCCTCGGTAGATAAATCCGTGAGGACCACAGATACGCTACGCGAGGAGACCTTTTGCTCAATTCAGAGGCGTTCATCATTGAATAATTACAACTTTTTCATCACTCACGAAGAAAATGGATTCACATACGTACGCATCTCTCTCTTAGACGCGAAAACAAATTCAAACCTGAAATAATTACAATTAATGCAGGAATAACTGTTTTCTTCTGCTGAAATATATTTTACTTGGCAAATTCTCGCAACAGCCTGCTCTCCACAAGTCAATCAATGAATTGTCGCTGAACACAATGAATGTCGGTTCAGTGATGATCCACTGATTGACTTTCAGAGAGTGAATTTTCGTGAGCGAATCGTACAATAATGTACGATACACTCGTAAAGTCGCGGAAGCTTCATCATCCTATATACTTTTCATTTTAACGTTATCGAAGATAGGATGTATCTTTCGTCATGCCTAGTGTAATCGGGAATCGTGCGATCCGTCAGCGAGAAAATTTCACGGAAACGCCGACCATTACTTCGCCGGAAATTTGCGAGACTTCTCGACGTCCGGCTCACCCAACCACCCAGCTCCCCGATGACTGCGCAATAATTGGGGGATTACCGCTTTCCTAATGGTTAACAGAGTTTCCGCGAATTCGACATACGCTTATATACGCGGTGATTCGATTAGCACGGACTAACAGAGGAATCGAGAGCTCGAGTTTGAGACGAACTGGCGAGGTTGACCGGCCCTGGTCAACGTCGGGGTTGGCGAAAGGGAGGTTGCCGACGGGGGTTGGGGTCGGTTGGTCGGTCGGCCAGCTTGGCCGACGGCTAGCCAGCTAGCTAACGCACTCCTGGGAAGACGTAAATGTGTCCCTTTAGTGCCAGCTTCCGTTCTGCGATACGTCCACCAAAGGGCTTGGCCGCTTTCTCTCTTGCTCTCTCTCTCTCTCTCCCTCTTCTCTTTCTATCGAACCATCTCCCTTTCTCTATCTCTCTGTGGCATCAAGCATGTTTCAGGATCTATTGACGCACCAGCGCTCATTTCGCCACAGAATTCGTGCGATCGTTCGCTTCCTCGAAACTGATTGAAGCGTCGCAGCTCTCACCGGGAAACTTCATCCGATAAAGCTCGTTGACTGTAAACGTGGTAGTGAAAGGGTCCGCGCGCACTGCCGTACGGCACTATTCGACATTTTGAAAAACATGAACGATTTATGAAATTTGTGTCTAATTGCTTCTATTTTTCTAGTTTAATTGATGCGACAGACACGCTTGCTTCTAAGAAGTTGGGTGGCACCATCCGTTTTCTAAAATCCCGTGACGTCTGTCATTTTCCGGCGTTTATTGCAGGCTGTAATAAATAATATGGCAGTTAATTCGCGAGCCACCCAAGACTAACGGCTAATTAGATATAAGCGCTACTTACAAAGTAATTCCCGCAAATTGCTGCGGCCGCGTATTACCTTTTTCCTCCTCATAGCGCTTTCTCCTGCATCGGGGGTTTAAATCGGGATAAGTTCGCGCGGCACACAAAGGGAATGTATAGCAGGCGCTGCTGTATGCAGTATGAAAGGACTAGATTTAATGGCGGTTAGCAGACGCTGCCGTTCGTACATGTGGCAGTGGTAGTTTGTACTTAGAGATACGCAAGCCGAGCTTGTCGGACGAGCAAACACTTAATTAACCCTTCGAGTTACCTCTCTGGCCTCTTTCTCCCTGTCTCTTTCTCTCTCAGCGTCTTCCACCACGTCCGAAATGAAAATAGTTCACCGAGGACAGTAGCGTCCGCCAAGACTCATTGAGGACTACTGCTTTACGCAGAACATGCTTCAATGATTGCAAAATGGCGTAAGAAAGTAATTTGTCGGTTCTCTAGTTTCTAAATAATTGCAAGTCGCTCACGAGAGTTTTATATTGCATATTTTGTTATGTCAGAGAGAGAGAGAGAGAGAGAGAGAGAGAGAGACTCAACTTGCTGCTTTTAATTCGGTTTAGTTACAATAATTACAAGAAAGAACATCTTTCTTATTTTAATTCATCAGTATAAAACTATAAAACTACATAAACGCTCCGATTTATGTATATATGCGCAGTATGCAGCTACCCCGCGAAGGATTGAAAGCCCAATGGAAGAAGTAATAAAGCTGCTTCGCAAAGAGGATAATCTTACAAAGTCAAAACTCGCGAATCGTCTTGAATTAAAACGAAGTCGTTTCAACCCTTCGCGGGCCGTACTTCTGAGGGCTGCTTATCACGACGAGGAGAAAGAGAGAGAGAGAGAGAGAGAGAGAGAGACAGTCACCCAACATCGGTAAGAGGCCGTCGTGGACAAGTTCGGGCTCTCTGTCCCGGCGGGCATTCTCGGATTCGCAGAGATCCCAATCTCTTAGGCGGGTCGCATCTCTTTTCGGTTCCAGTCAGTCAGTCACTCGATCCTACTCATCCCACCCCCTTTCTCCTACGCCCGTCTTCGTAACCCACCCTGCCACCCTGCCACCCTCTATACTCTGGAGACCCATTGCAACTTTAAGCGCCTCGCATTACGGACGTTCGACTCGTTTCTCTCGTTTCGGGCTTCGCCCGAGGCTATGCCGCCCTTCCTTCCTGTGTGCTCTTAATTTAGCCATCTACAACCCTCCCGGCTTGCCACCCCCCCCCCTCCCCGAGCCCCCGAATTCATTTCAGATGTTTATCTCCGGCGGAAAAGAATCGGCTCGAAAACGGATTAAGTTCGGATGATCGCGCGAGTTTCGTTTGTATCATCTTAGACCACCGCCGCTTTATCTGTGTACGATAGCAGGATATTCTAAATGAAAAATTGTCGAGGAAATTTTCTTCGGGATTAATGTTAACGAACGACTATGATATATCTGAAATTGTTGCAGCAAACTTCCAATAGAAATGAGCAATAGAAATGATTGAGTAGAAAAGGATAATTATGGACAGACATTTTATCAATAAAGGCTGGTAGATGCATGCGTGTTTTATTAATGGCAATGATGTCTTTATAATGTATATAATCAACGTTACTCAAATTAAGCCGGGTATTATTTTAATAACAGCAACCGGACAAATAATTGCGATTTTACTCGTTTCGTTAGCCGATCAATTATTGAAAGTCCGAAATGAGATAAATAATTAATAATTCACGAGTAAATGAATTACACAACGAATCGATTAATGGGACTGCATACTTTAAATTGCAATTAGTCAATCGTAATTAATTCGTAATCAGTCAATGGAGCCCTTTTCAATCATGCGGGATTTTGGAACGATCGGACCTTGCGTAACGCAAATGAATATCATAATTTCTCTTGCGCTCTCCCATTAATCCAAGTTGCGTCGAGAAGAATTGAATTTAGAGCACCAACCTTGGATTGCAACAACCTCGGTTGACACGTTGAAAATTTCACCCGCGTCCGTCTTTAGACCCCAAGGAAGCTCCCAAAGTTCATCATCCATTATTCGGGGGGAGCCTGGCCTATCTGGGGCTCGGCATCCTTAAGAAACCGGAATAAGCGACGGCTTGCAGCTGCAATTTCATCAGTCTTGTAATTCAACGATCGCAATAATTAGCGATCGTAATTACAATACTCCAAATTACATTTGGATATTTAGTTTTGGCGAATTTAACGGGCTAACTTTCTGCTTTGAAAATCGAAGCGACTTGAAACGCCCCGAAACTTAATCAACTATAGCACAGCTTTTGAGTTTATTATACATTAAACAGTTATACCTCTCTCTTGAATGAAAATTCAGTAAAATCCACCTGAAATTAACCGATTGGGTCGCTATTGAAAAGCAAGATAGTCGTCGAGCAGGGAGATTTCGTTATTACCGCGAGCGCTCTAAAATTCAAAATCCTCCGTGGTGACTCGCTGTCGCTTGAAAATGGCCTCGCAGGGGCGAGAACGTATGAAAATAACAATCGGCGAAGTGCAAGGAATCACGGTGCGCACCTTGCCGAATCCGCGGCTCCGCTAATTGACAGCGTCGCAGGATGGAAATTGTGTCAGTCGCGCGGGCGCGAACGGATATGATATCGATCGAAGCGCATCTCGCGCGCGGCGATGATCGCGCCGGTTAATTCCGTCCGCTCGTCCACAGACGAGATTCGCCGCCTGTCCACCGGCGTGATGCCCGGTGGTCGGTGCGACGGTTAGATAATTAGCACGGACGGACGTGGACACGGACGGGCACTTTAAATGTCCGCCTCTACGGGCAACGCCGCGTCGGCTTAACTCACTTATTATTTAATAAACTTCGGAAGTTTCACACGCGCGCGTATACATAGCCGCGCCGGCGATCGGCCGAATCTGAAATGCGACCCAGGTCGTCGCCCTCGACGGCGCATCACGTTTAAACGTTTCATTTCAACTTTCGCGACCATTTTTAACCGGACCACTTGCGCTCCTCTTAATATTGGTTGGTTCGCTTGTGAAGAATTTTGAACTCACT